AAAAATGCGCGTTTGAAAATTAAATTAAACACATAACGGTAAAGACACGATCGCGAGATGATAAGAGTATCTCCGAAGATTATAATAAAACGAGGAAAAATTCGTTAAATCGTGAAGGAAAAATGCTCGAGAAAACGTTTCCTCTTCTCCGTCAAACATCGATATGAAAACGACGACGAGATAAAACTGGCAATACGGGAAAACGAGAAAGGTCTCATACACCTCGTACTTCGAGCAACATCATAAATACGATACGACCACGTTAGCGACCGTCTATGAAATTCCCAACACCTGCGACCGGCTGTCACAAGTAATCTCGCGTGCATAAACCCGAAAACTTTTATCCCGAGTATATCCCATTGCCGTTGTTTCCTATTCGCAAATAAAACGAGAAGCTCAACGCGGCAGAAATAATCTCGTTGCGAGAAATTTCCTGGCGAAATACTTCCTGGCTATAAGACACGAGATGATATCCATGCGAGACCATCATGTACATCACTTCGCCTTCAAAACATCTGTATATAAATTTAAGTCAAATAAAAGAGACAAATTAAATGTATCTCGAAACAGTTATTTCGAAAGTTTGATTGAAATATTATACAAACAAGTTATAATGTAATGTCATTACTTATTAACTTATTTGCTACTACTCCAAATATAAAGTGTATTAGCCAAGTTTCTTTCATATTTCTTGTAAAGTAAGTTATACAGAGAGTATAAAAAAATTAGACCGACAAACTTTGAAAACACTTTTTGTTAATACTAATTTTCTCTTTCAATGTTTAATTTTAATACTATACGATATGAAATATGAGTTTGTGACTTTTCAATTTGTCACCTTTGTATTAAAGTTAATAAAAAATGGTTGAGTATTTACTGCAAAAAGAGTGAATTACTTTTATGTACTTGTTCCGTGTTTTATTCAATATTAAAATACAATTTAATTTGCCCACTTATATATTTGTTTATTATTTAAGTCAAACTCCTATTTCATACCATTTTAAAGTTTTCTATTTCCTTTCACTTATCGGCCTAATTTTTTAACATTTCTGTACATAATTTCATTAAAATATATATTAAAAAAAATTCTAAGAAAAAATTATTAATATTTAAACCTTTCATTTGTACTCGTCTGTTGAAAAGAAAAAATTCCAAATAAAAAATTAAAAAATCCAATCTGCCAAAATTAGAAATACCAGAAGACTTGTGAGTTTGCAGGCGCCTTTCGCACATTTTTCCGTAATCGATATTTTTCTAGAAATCGCACGGACGTGGCTACGCGTGGGCATCGGCTAATAACTGACTATTCTATTAATAGAAAGTACACGAGGGCGTACTCCCTTTTCCAACGATCGATCGATCGATCGATCGATCGACCGACTCCGATCTCGCGACACTCGTATCGCGCGTGTATATATATGCACAATCGCGTTTACTTCGCGTGGGTAGACTGCATTTTTTTTCGATAGCAGAGCACTGACTGCTCGTCGCGCATATGCGCGCACAACTACATTAGCAGCGCTAATTTTAAATCCATTAATCAGCTCAGCTCGAATGTCATCCTGCAATCTGATAACGGAAGATTGCCAGTCATATTTACTGCCATTAAATTTATATGTTATAGTTATATATAGTTACCCTTCTGCGACGAGAATTAGAAATTCGATATTAAGTGTTTCGATATTTTTTAAATCTCAAATCAAAATTCAGTCAATAAAACATAATAATGTCATTTCTCTTAAATTCGATTTTTATTACAACAAATTGCATGTTATCGGTTTAAAAAGATCAAGCTTGGATAATAATTTTCTATTCGTTTACATAATTATATTAAATCGCTACGCATCTATGCTTGAGAATAAATATAAAAGAAAAATGAAGAAAAGAAAATCAGCCTGCTATTAAGAATAATTTCGAAGAATGCTTTGAGATTCGCGCTCCTCTGTTTCTTGTTCGCAAAGACTACTTATACATATATTAAGCTACTTAAGTTAAATTAATCATTTAACTTGCTGTCAGTTGCCAGATATAGATAAGACCGACCAGTCTTGTAAAACTAGTTTAATGTAATCCAAGTATCTTCTCAATATACTCGCGAGCGTGCTGCGAACAAAGTACGAGAGCAGCCTCGAAGAAAACGTCTTTGCATTCGCGCATCTCTCCTAGTTCAAGATACGTCGATCGAGATAACCGGTAGTAGACTCGATCTTTGCCTGCTGCTCAGTCTCCTACGTGAAATGGTTCTCGATCGAGAACGTTTCCCGATTCCGCTCTCGAGTCATTCGAGACGCGATAAAACGCCATATGTATGTACGAATATTATTAATGACAGACGCTATTAAGATACGATTTCGTGGGGACAGGTATATTCGCCCACTTGATACGCAGGTCACCTCAAACACGCTCGTTTCCTTTTGATCTCTTTTCCTACATTTTTCTTCTCTTTTTTCCTCGACAAATATAAACTTTGGGATAAGTATATTTATATCGAGCGTCGTTTCCTGCTTATAATGAAGCGGTGTTTATCGGTTAGAGAAAGTCTCGCAAAAAAGATTCCGCCTGTGTATAGAAAAGAGGCCGTATAATTTGTACATCACATACATGTACAAAGTGTATCTAAATAAGTGCGAAAAATTTTAGGAAATAATTCTTTGTCGAAAATAATAAAGAGTGTTTCTTATACACAGAGAGAATTTTCTCTTAAAATTTACCCTGAAAATCATGGTAATCGTGGGACAATATGGTATTGGAAGAATTTTACGAGTTTTTCTAATTAATATTTACCACAATAAAAATATTAATATCAATAAGATATAAAATATACTCGATTAATTTTACTATGTACATACATATATTAAACTGTACATACATAGTAAAATTTATTGTGTACATATTAATATTTTTTATTGTGGTAAATATTAATCAGAGAAACTCTTATAAAATTCTTCCCACACCATATTATCTCACGATTACCATAATTTTTAGGATAAATTCTAAGGGAAAATTATCTCCGTGTATAAACATATATTCTTATATCCCTACCTAAGAAGTTACACTTTTCTAAAGAGGGAGATAAAAATTTTTATTTTTTTTTTTCAGATAAATTAACAAAATGAAATTTGATGGATATTTTCCACCAATAAAAAGAATATTTATTAATATTAAAAAAAAAAAATAAAACTCAACTCTTTTACCTTCCTCTTAATTTAATAAGAAACCTCCTTAATTTTCGACAAAGAATCATCTCCTAAAATTTCTCACACTTTTTAGATATACCCTGCACATAGAGGGTTCCCAAACATAGTTTCGCGATCCGTAGTAACGCGATGTTACAAGCACGTTTCGCGCCATTTGAACCCGGCCGCGAGTAAATGAATCGCGCGAGAAACGCGTTTACTTAGGCGCGAGCACGTACTGCGCCGGCGATGACTTCCAAAAGTAATTTCGTCCTCGTGATTCCCGCGCCACGTCGCCTGTAAGCCGCGCGATCCCTAAATATTTCATCGATTAAGATTTTAAAGCGCGATAGAAAGAGAGGATGAGATGGCGCAGTAAAAAAATCGTGAAATTTGTCCCTTGCGATTAGTCTCGGCAATTTAGACACGCCACGGGCTCAATTACGATCGTCATGTCGTGAATTGGCGATTCGACTTTTTCGATCCGGCCTCAATTAATGAGCGAGTCGATTTAAAGAGCATCAACGAGAGAACGTTTCTCTTTCATCGCGAGTCATGTGTCGTGAAATGACGAGGGGGATAAAACCGACCAGACGCGAGTCGAGTCTCGTCTGGCGCGAAAATGGATCGGCGCCTTCACGGAGGACGGCGTATCGTATGTTAGCCAATTTGGCGAACCGCCAGGACATCTCGCTGAAAATCGCCGGACGAAGAAGTCAGCAGCGCGTTTCTCTGCCTTCAATGGGTCGTGTTGCGTCTGTGGCGTCGACGCGCGTCAAAGAGCGCGTCCTATAACAGGACGGTCCTAAGCCAACGCGCGAAATGGTTCGCCTTTTCTTTCTCTCTTTTCTTTTCTATTTATTTCCGTTCGCCACACGTTCTCCGACAATTTGCTCGCCCAGTTCGCGGGTGAAGAACAGTTCGAATAGAAGCTTTCGCATCGATTCGAGCAAAACACTCTCTAAAGAGGAATCTAAATAAAGATGTATCCTATTTATACATCTTAAACTTTATAATTTCGACTCTCTTCATATCGCAAGACAATTAAATTTTCGTTAAAACTGATCGACGTTTATGAAACTAATGTATTAAGTGTAAATGAAACAGCACCTCGTAGGATTATAATTATTGTACAACGTTCTAGTAGTTAAGACATAGATGATTATAAGGTAAATATTTAAAATTCCTATAAGAGTTTCAAACACGTTTAAAATAACTCGTGTAAAAATCAGGCTTATATAGTTTGTGATGTGTCAGTCTGAAGCATAAAATCATGATTATCGTGTCAAAATGTGACAATCAAACGATCGAATTTTTTTTTCTCAAGGCGATCGAGAGAAGATGATATTTATCGAAGGCAGTAGGTCGTCCGAGAATATCTTCTCATTAAATTCTGATCTCTGCAAAACACTTTCTAAAACTCGTTATTATCGAGAAGAACCACTGACAGGCTGAAATCCGCTATCGAATCCGCGAATTTCAACGTTTTTTCTACTATCCATAACATGTTCGTAACTGTTTCGATTTTATTGTAAAAGGCTCACTTTTCGAGGAATTCGTTAGTTAGTTAATTTGTTTTTATGTCGAAATTGGAATTTTTTGAAATGGAATTTTTCGACTTTATCTAAATTCTCGCTGTTATCGCGCTGTACTAGGAATTCATGTCGTGCCACATACGTTTATGTTCAGGATATCGAAAAATAACATTGTAAAGATTTTCAAATTAAACGCTGTTAACACACACTCTGTTAGTTACGACTATCCTGAGGCTGGCAAGATTAACTCAGTAATTGAAGAAAAGCATGCGACGTGGAAAGTACATACCTTGCGCCAACAACGACCTGCTGCCGCGCGACGTCAAAAAGCAGCTGAGAGTAAGTCGTGACTCCCTCCTGTCGAAACATATTGATGTCCGCTAAATCTGCAACATATAATAAGACATGGGTTAATTAAGTGAACTCGAAGACATTATATTTGCTAAAAACTTCCAAAGTCGATGAATATTTTTATCTCCTATTTAAGTTATTATCCAAGTTTCAATGTCAAAATTATAAATATTCTATTTTTCCTTGTTTTAAGTAAAATAAAACGCATAAAAATAACGAGTTTGAAAAAAAAAATGTGAAGGGATAAAAATTAAAAAGTACTATAGTAGGTACAGTTACGTACGGATTTTCCATCCTCAACTTGGGATGCGAAAACCGGTACACGCGAACAGGTGCGAAAAGTTCATGCGAGGTGTCATAATTACTGAATCGAGCGTGTCGAAAGCGGCTTTCTTTTTCATGTGTTTATATCAGTAGCAGCACGTAAATTCAGCTTAGGCCAACATGACCTAAAGATGGGCGCCAGAATTTTTGAAACATTCTCTATATATTATAATTAAACTCGAACTTATTAAGCTTACGATATACCAAGTCGGTCATAAAAATGTTTACTAAAAATATAATTTCAGTTTATTATGTCTTTTGTAAACTTCTGAATCACTTGAGCATTATTTATATAGATACACGCATTGTTAAAAAAATATTATTTAATATCTTTTAATAAAATATTAAAATATGTCCTGCAGCGACTGAAATTTTGCGTGTGTAATAAAAATATAAAATTTAATAATTGTTAGAAGATAAATGCCGATAAAATGAATGCATTATTCTTCTTTAGGCGATTATTCTCGGTTGCAATAAGATCGCATACGTTCTTCAAAAAATCCTGTCAAATACGAAAGAATTCTCAAAACGTGGACCACCCTGCACGATGACGACTGGCGGCTCGTGGCGGCACGATTTACTTCGATTCTTCTTTGAATATTTTTTGTCTTTTTCGCTGGGCACGAGTCGGATATAAGGAAGAGACAACTTTATGTCCCGCGATGTCACGCCATAATATTCCATACGCGCCTCACACATGCATTCGACTACGAGGCACTATCGAGGCGTAACGATCGACTTACAAGACTGCCTCGTAAAGCAGCCTTCGATCTTCATGCCGAGAAAGAGAGAGAGAGAGAGAAGAGGCAAAGGGCAAAGCGAAAATACGAAGGATGCTGAGAGAAGGAAAGGCCAGCCGCGAAGAACATGCCGTACGTTCCTCCTTTGGTTAACGATCCCGATAGATTCTTCCTCTCTTTCCTCTATAACTCTCCCCCTTGTTTTCTCGGCGCATCCATCTCTTTCCCGCCATTTCTCGCCTTTACGTTTCGATATACTCACGCTATTTTCACTAGCCACGCCCTGCACATCTATCTTGGCGAAAGCGCGATTTTACGGCGCATTCTTCAAGATAAATGAGTAATATGGAATGTAATGGATCTCATAACAACATCCCTATAGCTCCCCTGATAGTCTCGTAGAACGAATTAAATAGACAGCATCAGCCTTTAATAGTTATTACCAATGTGGAAAATTGTTAGAGCAACCTTTAAAAAATGTCGGGGCCTTTAAGGGCTTAAACGTGGAGTTCTTATTAGGGATTTCCACATTACTGCCAAATTAGGTGATATCAGTTTTGAGTAGCTAATTTAATGTATGTTCTGCATAAGGAAACCAATAAGGGTCTTGATAGAGCTTGATTGATGAAGGTAGCAGTTATTAAAATAAATTATGATATTGTTAACTTATTATTTATCAAAACTCGACTAAGTTTTAAAATAAATATCATTATAATATATCTTGGGGTAATATAAAGGATTTCACAAGGCAATTATCAAGGTCCTGATTACTTAACCATTTAAGTTTACTTAACCCTCGATGGAAAAGCTTGACCGACTTTAAAGGGTTCTTATTGGGTTTCTACATTAGGACCCTAACAAAGTTAGGAAAAATTAACAGGGATTTCATGAAAGCCTTAACACAATTTCCACATGGGTAATTACTGAAAAAAATTGACACTTTCTCTCTCTTGATCTTGTAACACAGTGTTTTGAAATATGTTTTACGAAATCTTTCCTTTCAATGTTAAAAACAATCAATCCTCGAATTGGACCGGTGAGAGAAATGCGACCGGCATCCGGTTACTCGAAACGTTACAATTTTGCGCCATTATTCATCCGACATTAAGTAAAGCAACACTCCCGCCCGATCGAATATCACTTGGAACGTTACGGGACGATGAACGATGAGAAATATCAATTACTCGATATACCCATCATTTATCGCGAACACATCGTGCTCGCTCTCTCGAGGAGAGACTCGTACGATCCTTCAGCAGGTAGCGTTCTCCCGCTTCGCTTTATCAATTTTCCGTCTCTTCCACGCGCTGACGGGAGGGATAATACCGCTCCGGGACGAAATTGCATCCGTTGTGAAGAGGAGGCGAGAAGGAGAGAGAGAGAGAGAGAGGGAGTCGTTACCGTGCTTACCTTGTACTACCTTGAGTATTACTACTACCAACTTAAAGGTGATCCCCAACGTTCCGCCACGCTACCGCAGATGTGGACCACCGGGCTCGCTATGTTAATACGGATAATTGCGTTATGCGAACTGGACCCTCCTTCTCTCTTTCTCTCTTTCGTCACCGCAATATCGCGCACTACGTGTGCGGGCAATTCTTTATTAAATTACCGCGATACAAGGTTTCGCGACAACGTATGATCAAAATAAAATTGCTATTTTTTTTCAGTATCTTATATACATGAAAAGTAGTGCGAAAGGAATTTCTCCAAAGTGTGATAATGAATGTAAAATTATACTACTGTATGATATAAATGCTTTTTCCAGAAAGGTATTAAAATAATGTATAATGCATTAATAAAACGAGAAACATTTTTCGGATACATATTTCTTAAATATGTATAAGCATGAAAATGATATAAAAGTAAGTAGAGTGAGAAAGAACACGGTTTTATTAATTATAATAATGTTAAGATAAGAAACGTGGGATGGAGTCAAAGAGAATGCGCAATTATCGCACCTTGGTATCTCAAACTTATTTAGACTTTATAATAACGTATTTAAGTAGGCGTTGAAATATTCCGCACATTCCCGGAATGCTCTTTTCTTTGAATAATAATTAAAACTTATGCATCATTAATGCGAAGACCGTACATGAAAGCCAATTGCGCCGATCGCCACGCCTTATTTAACGCCGATTAAATTCTGTTTCCAACGAGCGGATTAAAGCGCGTTGGCGCTTTAAATCGCCACTCGCGCGGAGAGCACGTGCTATTTCCCGTAAAAAGTCTCCCAGATCCACGGGAGATTCCGTCGGAGATCCCGAGATGACGCGGAGATTACACGAGAAATATAAGTTACGACAAAGCGGCGAAGTTGTAAACGATAAATTGCGGGATGTGATAACGTCCTTTCCTCTCTTTAGAAACCCAGCAGACTCAATGAAAAAAATTCCATCATTTCTCCAAGACCAGAAATTCATTTTTTCCTCACTTTTAATATTATTTCTTCCAAATATATAATTTGCATATATCTATATATGATAAATCAATTAAATGTTAAAGCATGAAATCCTTGAGAAATTCATTTTTTCCTCACTTTTAGTATTATTTCTTCCAAATATATAATTTGCATATATCTATATATGATAAATCAATTAAATGTTAAAACATGAAATCCTTGAGATATTTTTGTCAACAATGAAAAGGTTCGGAAGTTAAAAAAATAAAAATTTTAATCAATTATATACAATCTGCATTATGTACGATAATCGAAACAAACATGTCACTATAAAAACTATTTAAATAATCACCTTTTTTATTTATATTATATCCAATTTTTTAGTTTTATCTAGTCAAGAAAAAGTTTATATTTATTTAATAAAAAATCTCAAATTATTGACACAAATGTAGAGTAATGTGAAAAAATCCAGATAAATAGTAAAATCTCCTCACTTTTTTCCCTGACCGCCAGACACCCTGGATAAAATGGTAGTAATTTAATCAACCAACTCTGGCTATTTAATAATCTTTATTTAATATTCACGACGTTTCGGCCATGGGTTCGGCCCTTATCAAGTGCTAAAACACAACTTTCTATATAGAAACTTAATTTCTGATCTTAAAATGTGACATGATATAATGTGAAACAATTAACTAATAGTTATTAACTAATATTAAATAAAGTAAATAGCCAGAGTTGGTTGATTAAATTACTACCATTTTTAATTATCATCTGGTGACTTCAGAGATTTTAACCCTGGATAAAGTTTTCTCTGTATATAGGAACGAAGGGACAAACATATTTGCACGCACACACATCCACGGAGGAAGGAGAAACCGCTTTTGCATAAAGCACGGCTCCTTCCTCCGAGAGAACGCTTGTGCACGCGCGTATACAATTTCGTGCATGCTCGATGCATCTAATTACTTACTCGGTCAGAGATCAAAGACGAGTCACGCGCCGTACTAACGTGCGTTAGCGTACGCCGAGACTTCAAAGGGAGGAAATAATAGCGTCTCTCTCTCTCTCTCTCTTTCATCGCAGCCTTATCGTATACAACAGATGTAACTGTTTGAAAAATTTCGAAGATTTCACCGAGATTTCTCTTGTCTATCGCGCGTGTGCGTCGACGTGTCGATATGTCCCGTGTTGCCGAATAAACTTATCTGTTTATCTAAATTGGAATGTACGTCTCCACGCAAGATCGATCGTTTCGGTGAAGTCTGGGTGGTCGGATAGGAAGAAGAAGGCGACACCGTTATATCATCGAAGAGCTCGCTTCGTTGATTGGCGAAATATTAATATTAATTGGCTCTCGTAATCTTTATCGATACGCGATCTCTTAATTGCGTCTGCAGTTGTAAGTTCCCGAGCTGGCTCGTCTAAGCTGTTATTTAATTCTGATGCGACTTACGTCAGCTGACCTTTTTATAAATACAGTAATAATGTGGGATAAATCGGTGGTGCCTGCTGAGAGCAATGACCCGGAAAGATTAGATAAAATAAAAGAGCTGCTCAGGCAACAAAA